GGGCTTACACATTCATACTCTTTTACACAATGACCCGTTCTTTCTGAAAGGATGATACTGACTCCCTGGCATGCCCGCTCGGTCTCGTCTACACCAGACCAGTACGCGGTATACATGCCATGTGTAGTGGCATCCTTTCCCTTCCGTTTCGTCTCATTCATACATAACACGTCTATTCCTCTCTCTTACATCTTACATCTTACATCATATCATTATACTTCATCCATCTTATCATTCATTCCTCCACATCAATTCAAAATATCAAATTCAATATTATGTAATTTATATGAAAGTTCAGAGTATAATACTTTAAGGTGGCTTTTTAAATTATCTCTATTGGAAAACCAACGACGACGCTCCTCATTAAACCAAATGTTCTGAGCTTTAGAAATAGCAATACTGGCCGCTCTACTATTTGTGCTGGAACGTATTTGAATATAATTGGGAATAACATGAAGTTGTTTGCACTGCTGATTGAAACAAACATTTTGGGCAGCAATACGATGGAGTTTTGTTAATTTGACATAGAGTCTTGCCTGGTCGGCCGTGCTAGCCTTTTTAATATAATTAATAGAATCAGGCGTTACTTTGCGAAAATCCATTATATAAAAGCTTTTACAAAAATTTACTTCGCAAATATCCGCGTTATAAAATAAAATGAAGTGTCTTAACTAGTACGAAGAGCACTTTTGCTGGACTGGCACAAGGAGACAACTGGATGTTTTCCTCAATAAAATAAATAGAGTCCATGACAAAATTAAATTTAAACTTGAATTGAAACAAGATTGTTCCCTTAATTTTCTGGACTTAACAATAACAAAAAAAGAATCTTCACATGTTTTCCAAATTTATCGAAAGCCAACTCACACCGACACGGTCATCCCCGCGTCATCATGTCATCCGTGGCAACATAAAGTAGCCGCTTTTTATTGTTACATTAACCGTTTGTTCACTGTCCCATTAAGTAAAGAAAATTATTTAAAAGAACTAAATATAATTTATCAAATAGCGGTCTCTAACGGTTTTTCAAAAAATCTCATTAACAATTTAATTAAAAAGAAACAAAAGCATGTTATTCGCAACTCTCTGTACGCGGTTCAACCTCAAGGTGTTCATCGATATGTGAGCAGTTTAACCTACTTAGGCCCCATATCTGAAAAAGTAGCTAATACTCTTCGACAAAACGGCGTTCATGTGGCGTTCAAAACAAACAATTCTCTTAGAAATATCTGTAATAGTAAAGATAAGTTGGATATTCGTCAAAAGTCAGGTGTTTACAAACTTGTTTGTGACAAATGCCACGCCGATTACGTGGGTCAGACTGGTCGCAATTTCGAGACACGTTATAAAGAGCATTTAGCCGCGTACAGGAATTGCAATCCCGATAAATCCCATTTTGCCAAACATCTTTTGGACACTGGACACAACCTAGCCAACGACCACTCCTTTAAAGTCTTACATACGTGTAATAAAGGGCTGCGGCTGTGTGTGCTGGAACAGTTAGAGATATTAAAAAGTAATAATAATACCGTTGCATTGTTGAATTAACAAACAAATGTTACTAACTCACCTCTCTTAAATATCTTCAAGCCTGCTCTCTAATAATAGAGAGCCTCGCAAAATGGTCGTTTGTCACCCTCACGGTGATCGGCGATTGGTTGCGTGGTTGGAGGGTGGGCGTTGCGCGGCGGTTTGTTTTTAATTTTACAAACGGCTGCGTAAGTCCAGCGGTGATTGGTCGCATGTTTTATCGCATGACGCAGTCGCTCGCTCCTTAGGTAGAGAGCGGTTGCATCATCGGTCTGTATAAAAGGCACTTGTTTTGGCTCGCCGCTCACTTAGCGGTTAGCCACCGTAGAGTCTATATCACCTGAGGATGCTTCGTGTAGAGGCGAAACACGTGTCGTATTATCGTCAGTGGTGTGTCTTGCCTAGTGTAGTGGTGTTGGGAGTAGCGGTGCTGGGATTAGTGGTGACGGGGATAGTGCACGCAATTGAGGGAGGGCGGGAGGTGCTCTTCGTACTAGGTAAGACACATCATTTTATTTTATAACGCGGATATTTGCGAAGTAAATTTTTGTAAAATCTTTTATTATTATGATTGTCATTTCAATGACATTGAATATAGCCTAATTTATGGCAGAATTTATATAGCCTTATCCGAGTTGATATTTGACAGTATGAAATGTGTCAAACATTTAAAATGAATAATTCGTAAATAATCTTAAAGCATCAATTAGGCATTTAAGTACCAAATCGTCAGTGGCATCTATTATGTCAATGATAAGAGCAAGAAATTGTAAGATAATTAAGTACCTACAAATTAAAAATGTAATCTAAATAATCAACTATTTCTTTATCACTCGCTTAGAACGGGGGATAGGCAATTCAGTCCCCGGGGCATTTAGATGCCTTTAGAGGGCTTTGAACATTCGATTTTGTTATATGTGTGGACCGGCAGAGATGAGCTCAAGCTTGCGCGAACATTCCACTTGATGTCCATACTGTATCAGTTATTATCACAAGTGAACAAATTAAATAAGTTTTTCACTTATTTAATTTTAATATTAATATAAAGAGTAACTTTTGCTGGTAGTGGTAGGGTCGTAAAATACCTACGTATTTTTTATTTATTTATTCAACAAACTGTTACTTAAACACACAAATATCAAGAAAAAATACAGTAACATACAGATTTACAGACTTATAATACCGAGAAGAATCTTAAGTGGAATATAAGAAGATAAAGAAGAAAAAAGAAAAGAGAATTGTATTTCGATATAATGGCATGCAAGCTGTGATATTTGTATATAAGAAGCTGTATCCTTCAGCTTATAGTATTAATTTTCTCATACATAAGATGCACTATCCTAAACCATACATATTGATTTGGGGTTAAGTATTCAAGTTGGTAATCTTAACGTATATTGCAAGTTATAAACGTATTTTAAAAAATCACACTTGTCAACTTCAAATCATACATATTCACACTTGTCCCGATTGACCCAATTAAATATTTAATTTAAATAAAGTTACAAAATAAACCTAAATATTTAAATTTCCTTTACGCACAGCAATGGTGGCGGTGCAAGAATATCCACTACCCCATACCTTCCCGTAGGTGTCGTAACAGACGACAGAGAGGATCAAACAAGCGTCTTCCTGATAACATCTAAATAATAAGAAACTACAATTGCCAACCCGCCTGCCAAACGTGGCAAATATAGCATATATTTTCCTTATGAAACTATGGGATGGACCAGTGGACTTTTGACAGGCTGCAACGATAACAATAAGTTGTTCCTCTTAACAAAAATCCTAGGTGTTAAACGCCCACCGGAACCAAATAGATTGTAAATTGTAATTTTAAGTGCTGATTTACTATGTTCTCGGCGGTAAAGAAAAACAGCGTGAGGAAACCTGGATTTTTGTGGAATAAAAATATTTCGAGGACATGTCGAGCAACACGGCGGACAAATTGCGTCAAAAGTAACCCTCGCAAAAGTAAGACAAGATCTGTGCCGAGCCGTGGAAAAACTTAATACCTACCTTGAATAAGAAAATTCATTCATTCTCTCATAACAACCTATCAAAAGTCCGTTGCCAAAGATTGGCTCATAAGGAGGAATCGCCATTGGTGCCACACTTGCCAGGCAGGTTGGCAGTCGCAGTTTTTTATTACTTTGAGTTTGTTAGAAGACAAAAGTTGCTGCCAATCTCGTGTTTAATTTTCTTCTTTCGTTTTTTATGATCTACGATATAACGTAGTGGATTAATATACGCTGCCACTACACCGCGTACATAAAAAATTGTCTTTGATTTATTTTACCGTTAATCTTAAATTTATATACTTTTTTTTAAGTAAGTATAACTTTTTTTTAAAGTCTTACATTTCTATCCACACTGCCATCTGGTAAGTTAAAAGAGAAAATTGCTTACTGTAAAACATCCTTAACGTATTAATAAAATAATGGAAATGCGCCCAAAATTACCTTTGTTGTTGAGCTTCTAGCCAAACTACCACTAAGAAATTCGCTTATTGCCACGTCTTGTGCACCGGAGGAAGATAGGGATTCAATTAGAATTCGTGGAGGCTCGTTCCATGCACATTTTGTGTAGTTTTAGTAATTTATAGCATACATTTATAACTATTGAAACATATTATATTAACATAGTATTCGACTTACACTGGACGTATTTTGATAAGGTTTTTAATGATATATGAATAAGTTTAATTGTACACGCAAATGTTCCCATGTAACGTATGCACAGGAAAGTACATTCACATTCATTTTAAATACTATAATATGGATTTGTATGAGAAGGATAAAAGCTAATCACTATTTACAACATCAAGAGTTTTTTATATATATTTTATAATGTTTTTAATTGAACATCAACACGTACATAGGTAAATTACTACAAAATTCGATATTTTCACAACAAATATAGACAAATCGAATATAAAATTTGTTATTCTTATTATTCTTTTATTTTTTTATTCTTATTTTTTTTTCTTTAAAAAAACGTTACCCCCACACTAGGATTTTCTCCTGTGTCGTGGAGGCAGTTTACAAACATAAATTGCACAAGGACAAACATCCAGACCCGGAACAATTATTTGTAGGCCATACAAATACTTGTTCCGTGCGGGATTCGAACCCGCGGCCCCCAGCGCAACAACTGATTGCTAAGCCACTGCGCCACGGAGCCGTCGTTAATTAAAATAATATTTGATATTAAAATAGAATTGACATTTAATTAACAAAGTTCATAAAAATTCAAAAGGAAATCTTTAAAAATATATTTTGTATGTAATTTAGTTATGTAGCATAATATACTGCTTGAGGCCAGCGGCATCTTGTTGTTGCCAGTTATTATTTCGTTCGTTGTTGTTGTTGGTGATGTACCGCCATCACATTGTTGTTGGAATCGTAATGACTTTGAGCTCTTGGAGGCCTAGCTAGATCTTGGATTTGATTGCGATACGGATGTTGTCGTTAATTATTATAATTGTTGTTGTTGCCTGAAAAGTCTTCAAGATAATGTGGGCGCCTGGTTTGACCTTTTGGGCGGGGTACAGCTTGCAAAAATCCTGTATGGTGACTCTGATCAGGTGTAATCTGTTGCAGTGTGGGGACTTGTACACTTGCAGCCACTGTGTTATGACCCTACAAAAATAAAATATATTTATAAAGAAACGAATACGTATATTATGATTAAGAAAGAAATACCTTTACAATTTGAAATTTAATTTCTGATTAAGATTAAGAAGACTATAATCTATAAAATTAAAAAAGGTTTAATGTACCTAAATCTTAAAATATATTAAGATACATTTACGTGTAACTAATATATTTTGTAGTTTTTTTATGAAAGAGGTGAAATGAAATTTAATAGTATTTGCATACCCTAGGCCAGTTTTTAGTTTTGTACATTCCTACGGCTTGAACTTGCGCGTATGTGTTGTTGAATTGCTGCATTCTAAAATGTGTTTCTTGGTTTTGCTGTTGAGTGGGAAATTGATACCCAATTTGTTGGCTCTGTCGAAATTCCTGAAGCTGTTTTATATGTTGAGATAATAAATGCCTCGTTTTATCATTCATATCAATTTTGATATTAATTTTGTTGAGATCAGGACAAGATGTCTCATCTGGTGAGTTTATTGTAAAATTTGGCATTTTATTGTTCAAAAATTCACTAATAAACTGTGATACTAAAGTAAAAATAGACTTCAAATTTTCTTAATTTTCGATTTCAGGATGTAACATTTGTTTAATAACAGAGTTATACACACCCATGATTATTGATTTGTTTTTTTTCTGATTGTTTGATAACTGCTTCGCAAAGAGATTCATTATCAGAATTCAGAATATTTTCATTCGTTGTGTTTTGCGAATTAACTGAATTAACCAAGTTGTAATTGGCATTGTGTTACATGTGATAAAGCTTTCATGATATTATTTCTGATCATAATTTTAAAAACATTGTATTCCGCAAGAGAAATAATCGAGATTTCATCAGTTTGTATATGAACTGATTTTTTTTCGTTCTTTTTATAGTTTAGTGTATTAATGATGCTGAAAACAGCCTTTTTTATAGCTTTATGTTGTTCATCATTGACACGTCTATTCAAATGTGGCTCACATGTGATAATTTTAAAATTAGAATTGTCCTTAAATGTTTGATTCAAATTGGAAATTTCTTGATTGTCTTCAAAATTAAATATAAGCACTGTCTTTTCACTGTTTAAATTATTGGAAGGACGGGTTTGGTCAAAAGTTTCGTCGGAATATTCGACCTTTATGTTCGCCTCTACTGCATTGCCAAATGAATTTGCTTTTATATTTGACTGTGATTGTGGTGTGATTTTCTTTAAATTATACATGTTTTTAGATTTAGAAGTTGCATTAGTTTTGAAAAAAAATATCAGTAAATATATTTGCAGTTGTTACCACTGGATCATTTAAACAATCTCTTTTTTTTTTCGATGTCTTGAAATTTAGATGGTTGGGGCAATACTTGTGCATGTATACTGTAAAAATGTATACGATTATTAATTTTGTGATATCTGCAACAACAGAAGAAATTTATTTTATTGGATTTAAAATGGGTGACGGACTCTTGTACGTCACCACCGTACTACAGTGTTTGTGGTAGGGGGCAACTATATTAATTTCCAGTAAATATTAATGGATTCCGATAGATAGCAGTATGACCATTTGGAGAACGTCAAAACACCCCCGCCGGCGACGGACAGCAGCGTCAAAGGTAAGATATACATGGCACTGCGATCGTTAATCCGCTTGCCAAGTGTGGCGAGTCCCATGTTCATGGCGAGGGCTTTTATGAGCTGATGATGAAGAAGTTCATGATGATAGAAGTCATACCCTCATCACTAATAATAACCATATTGCATAAGCTATTTGCACCTTAATTGAAAACAGTGTAAATAAATAAATAAATAAGATATACATCATATTATAAATTGTTCATGGATAACGTTGTTCACTTACCATCAGGTGAGTCGTGTTCTCGTTTGTCTACTCTTTCAAAAAAAAAATTCAAGAGTCACAAGACCTTCCTTTTAACCTTAGTTGCCTCTAATACCAACCATGTGATTCTTTATTATCATTACAACCCGTTACAAATCCACTGCTGAACATAGGTAAGGAATGCAACAAAACAAAATCCCAATAAAAAAAAAAACACTCTCGGTCAAACTAAGCTTAAGTTACACGATCACTTACAAATGGAACCACAATTATATACGAATTAAGATTTTTGTTCAAAAAGCAAATCAATAAATGTAACTACTTTTTAAATACAAATGAAAATTAAACTCTCATAATTATAACATATTTATTGATAACGCGATGGATGGGACATATAATACAATTTTTATATTATATACTCCTTAATTAAAATAAAAACTTTATTATTGTAAGAAAAAGAAAACGATAAATCATAAGTTACTTACATTTCCACCGGAAGTGAAACTTTTAAAGATAGTCGCGATGGCGCTCTACTGCCTTTGCTTATTTTTGTGTCATTTTATTTCCCTTTAGTTTTCGAGAATTATTCGATTATTAAATAACGTAATGTAACAAATATAAGTTTAGAATCTTTATCGAAATAATTTATAACTACAATGTCAAGTTATTTTCAATAAATCTCGTAATTATAAAAATCTGTTTCTTTAACGTACATAATTTTAAAATATTTTTAATTAAACAGTTGAATATTTTACACACAAACACTAAAATATTTTGTACAGAAAAAATACTTAATTACAAATTTAAAATTAAAAAGTAACGAATCAATTTGTTTAAATATTACCTTTTGCGATTGTAGGCTTAATTTTGAAGTAGTCAGAACACTGAATCACTCACTCAGGCACACTCAGAACACCGCGTTTGCACTTCGATGTTGCCAGCAGGCGATAGTTGGCGTGACTGACGCGAGCTTCTGACTGATATCTCGCTTTTATTTGAGGCAGGGCGGTGAAATAACAGACGCCCGCCCAGTGCGAGGGCAGTGCTTAAGCTTAGTGAGACTCCCACCTTTTAGCTCTGCAATACCAATATATAGATACCTGTTTATTTTATTTTTATATAATTATATACTTGTACGCGTCTATATCTTGGGTATACATCAAAATGTTTATAGTTTTATCAGTAACGTTGCCACTATCCAGAACAGATTTCCATCCATAGAACCTCGTCTGTCTGTATTTAAATGTCCACTGCTAAACCCTTAGATTAGCTCATATCCAAATATCTTCCAAATTATTTAAGTTGTCGTTAGGTAGATGTAGCCCATCTTCTGTTTGATTTCCCTCTGTCGCCTCATGCACTATACGGTATGACCATTTGGTATAGTGTATGATGGATTATCTTACGCCATCACCACACGACAAACTGACTTATTATAATTAAACAATATTCCCTCTCACATTAAAAAAATCCCTAAAATAATATATAACCAATGAGAACAAGAACGAAAAATTATTGCTTATTTAGCACACAGGAAAAGCTTCAGTCATAGGCTCAGTCATGTAGCCACAGTCCTACCACAGACTCACGATGAGTCATAGTGACATTTTTATAAGTTAGTGAAGTTTCGGGGGTTTCAGCGGTTTGCTAATTAGATTAAAAACTAGAAACAAACTTCAAATACCTATCAAAAATAATGAAATAATATTCACGATATAACTTCTGAAGTCGGTGCTCGGACATACTCGTAGTGCATCGGAGAATTAAAGCCCCGGCTCAGAAACTATTATGTGAAAATTGTTTTATACTTTTTAGTTTTTAAGTGGGTTTTCTGAAGTTTATTTATTTTTGAAGTGGATTTCCAACGATAATACCATCTGAATAGCTACATTAAAAGGTTCGACTCCAGTTTTTCCACTAAATTAAAAAAATCTCAAAGTTATATTTTGATAACCTATTTTTAAGTTGTGAGGGACTAAACGCCACCCAGATATTGCATATTTTTTCATTGCTACTACACGACGAGTACTCGTGTACTCTTACGATATATCCAGAGCACGTGGTAAATCTGCACTTAAAATTGATATTAACAGTTTAATTGGTGCCGGCGGGGATCAAACCCGGTTTGAACCAGTATTGTAAAATTTACAGCGAGCACTTAGCCCCTGAGCTACCACGGCTTCCCCAGAAGTAACTAAAAATAGTTTTGTAAAAAGGTTTCTAATTTTTTTGTCCTAAATAATCAACATCATCATCATAATCACAGGCTATCCACAGCTGGTCTCCTGACATAATGCTTCAAAGCACGGTCATGAGCCATTTGTCTCATATGAAATATAGAAACTTATTTGTGAACGAGTTACACTTTGGACATCGAAATCATAGCATTTTGAAATTTCTTCTTCATTTCTAGCCAGTATAAGTCAACTGCTGAACGTGTGCCTCTATTGTTGAAGAGAGATATATCTTTTTATATTATATATTATCATAGACTTTTTTAAAGCATAATTTACAATATAACATTTTATACAATTAATACAAAAACATTTAGAAACTACATGGTAGCGATCACCTCATTCCTGGGAATGACCCTGGGGTCATCCTTAGACTACAAACGCACGAATTTAAAAGAGGTTTATTTTTAAGAAAGCTAAATAGACATTAGACGTAGACCGAGATTTTTTTTTCCACCAAAATTCCCTTTTTGTTAGATTTTATGAAATTTTCAATCACCAAGCAGTGCCCGCGCGTTTGAAATGTCTCGAATTCTTTTCTTATATTTACGCGAACACTACACATTTAAATTAAACTACTCAGTCCCCCCCGTGACCATGGGTGCTGTAAAGTGCTTGAAACGTCGGGAATGTAAAATTAGTTAATATACGCGATAAAATCCGTAAAATTAGTTTTATTTAAATCTCGAATTCTTCTTGAGACATAATTAACTGCTTGTTAAGCGTAGATCAACAACGTCAATAGCTGAAAATGAGCTACATTCAAACTATACATTGTACATTTTTTCATTATATTGGAATTATATTTAATTCCAAAATAATGATGAGTCTGGCACAATAACGCCTCGTAGGCACAATGTTGTTTGTAGGTATTTTTACGTTGCCTATTTTACTTTGCTGTACTGTTTATATAAGCTTAACGCATCACGTAATATTTTGCGCAACTTTAAATATAACAAGATATTAATGTAAATGGAAAATCATAAATTTATGCAACCCGTGGTTCAAAGCGAAGAGCTTCGCTTTCACAGGCTTCTAGCGTAACTTAGGGATATTAAGTGTCGACTGCAGAAAGACAACCACTATTACACAGAAAATCAGCATCTAATTACAGACCGCCGTAACTGTGAGCTTTATCACCATTTATTTTCAAATAATAAAATTAAATGAAAGAAACAAAGAAATTAAACGATTTATTTGTAGAAACAATACAGTGTACTTATGAAAAACATCAGGTTGAAAAAAATATAGCTTCAAACATTTTACTGTGTTGTAAGGTTACATAACTCTAGCTACGAAATCGCTACGAAAATAACAGCCTAATTCTTTTATAAAATATTCAATTGTTTTTTCTTTATTTTTGTCTTATCTCTCGTTATTTAACGTTGATCTGTCATTTCAGATTTAACGAGCTAAAACATGAATACAAGTCTCGACTCTTAGATGATTTTC